CTTTCTAGCCACATGCGTTTGTAGACACATTGGATGCCGCTACTTAAACACATACACGTGCATATGTTCATATACATACTTTCTTGGGGATGGATCCGTCTAAAGACAACGTGACCGTTGCGTTCGGCGCAGTACAACGTCGGAGAAAGGGCAGATACGTCAACGGCATGCTCCTGTTCTGGAGCAGGTCTCACATGGTACCCCCACGCAGGACATGCGGGAAGAGGTGGTCAAGAAGTTCAGGAAGGGCGAGTACGAGGTGCTGATCGCCTCCAACGTCGCCTCGCGAGGCCTGGATTTCCCAGACATCCGGCTCGTGGTGCAGTTCGAGCTGCCGAAGACGGTGGAGATCTACACCCACAGGATCGGCCGCACGGGCAGAAACGGCCAGACGGGCACGGCCCTCTCCTACTTCCAGGCGGCGGCGCCTCGGAAAGCGTCTCCCCTCCTCAGGAGGAGGAGGAGGAGGAGGAGGAGGAGGAGGAGGAGGAGGAGGAGGAGGAGGAGGCCACCCACTCCCTGAGATCCTGGCGTCTACTTTTTCTTTCGAATCGGGCGTTGTCGCCCAGTTCCAGGCCCTGGGGCCCTCACAGGTCCATTTGCCTGGACCAACACAAAGGTCAGAGAAGGTGGGGTCGGGAGCTCTTGTCGTGATGCTTCACTATGCAGATGTGTTTCTCGCGTCGTCGGATCTCGAGGTCCACACCACCCGGAGGCCCTAAGCCGAACTGGACCTGAGAGCAAAATCGACGCCTCGGATCCGGCAGAAGAGTCTGGCAAACACCAGGCGGTGAGGCGGCGGAGGCAGTGTGCCAACACCAGTGCCCTCGAGGTTCAGCGGTCGAAGAACGATACAACTACCATACACTTTGCTGCCGTCGGGGGCGCCTGCCCCCCGGGCGGCTGCAAAGTTTCTACTCCTACGGTGCGGCACTTTTCATCATCCCCGTCTGGCGTTCATGGGGGAAACAAGCTCCTCGCCGCTGCTCAGGTGGGTGGCGGCGGGTACGACGCGAAGCTCGCGAAGCCGCTGCTGGAGTTCCTGAGGCTCAACGACCAGCGGCCGCCAGAGTTCCTGGAGGAGCTGGTGGAGCCTGGCGCCAGCCGGCGGCGGTCGCGATCCCGAGACAGAAGAGGCGGCCCCCCAGATCCAGCGTCGGGAAAAGATCGCGACGCCGTGAAGCACCACTCGACGGCGAGCCCACGGGGGGGAATGCCTGAGGAGCTTCCCGAGCCTTCTATCCGAATGCAGGAGGCGGCTTCTCAGACGGCCGGAGAGCTTTTGAGGAGCTGCGCTGTCTTCTGAGAAGGCCTGCCCCCTGTCGTGTTGCCCCCTTGGGCGCGCCGCCGAAGCACTCCAATCGATCAGTGGCGAGGCGCCCTGGCTTGCCCATAGGCGCACCGAAGAATGTCCTGATAGCCTCTCGTGTTCTCCACGAGCTGTTCTCAGAACATCTCTGGCTGAGGCTGTCCTGCTTTACCGCATCGGGCTCAT